AGAAAAATAAAAAACAACCAGAAATAAATGGGTAAAATTGTAGTCATACTACATGGAAAAGAGCTACCCATAAGAAAGGCACTAAAGAGGTCGCAGAAGTTCCACTGGAGGTTTGGATCTAAGAAAAAAACAAAAGCCAATCAAATTAGTCTTTCCCGCATGAAAATAAATTTAAACAAATGAACCACAACATTAAATCATTGTATAAGATAAATTTCTTTTGAACAGTTTGTTGCAGGAAATAACAGTACGATACAAGGCACAACATATATCCCATGCCCACAGATTACTACTAGTGTGCTATGTGCATTAAACACAGTATTTATAAACTATTAGAAACAGCTAAGTCAGTCTCAATAAACTTTATACACTAGATTACATTTTCCCTATACTCTACCAACTGGGTATCTAACATTTGGGCTGGCTTTACAAAAAGTAAATCTAAATAACAATTTGCAAACCGAATACAGTTTTCCTTTAACTGCATCTCTAGCAATTTTTTTAAAATTTAATATTGGTACTAATTTCATGTACATAAACGTTTTTACTACTGCGAAATTGTAAACAAAAAAAAATTAATAAAATAACCAGACTAACCTCCTCATCAGTTGTATTTCTATCTGCAAAAGTATTAACACATGTATTGAAACAAGTTTCAGAAATTCTATTAAAAACTCCTAAGAAGTCTTTCACCTAAAATTAAAAATAATTTAACATTTTCATAAAAGCATATTCATATCAAACATAGAAACAACTGCTGTTGACCTGTCTCAGTTGGGGGTCTGCCATACTGTAGCATAATGCAGTTACTCTTATCATGCATAACCTGATCATACCAACAGAAAGGTTATAAAAACAAACAGATTATGTTGACATCCCATTATATTTTCATAACATAGCACTGTAATACTAAGAATTTGTTGGGAATACATAAAAAAATCCACAGGAATATTAACAACATGAAATAGTTATATCATTATTTACAAAGTATTTAACTACAACTATTCACTTAACCATATAGAAATTATTTTTAAAAAACTAGCTCTATTAACATTTAAGAGGTATAAAATGTAATTTTTACACTTAAAAGTTCAAGTATTTACAAAATTTAAACTTAATTTCACTTTAAACAAAAAGATTCTTCATGTTTCATAAGCTAACACTACCAGTCTTGATCATGATACTTTTAAACAAATTAAATTGTCCTGGCAAAAATTCCATTGAAGTTTTGGTTGGATGATCCATTATTATTATCATCGTCTTCTCCCATATCTACGTCTGAGATGTTTTGCTGTTGGCCTTCCTTGTTACTATCTTCTTTGAGATTATCTCGTATGTTCATTAGATATTTTCCCAATTCTCCAGCAGGAGGCCTCCATAGAACCAAGGCATTAGTTGGCCTTTTGAAGTTGTCTAAAATGTGTTGAGGTAGTGGTGACTGGACATTCTTCTGTAGTTCTCTAATTTCATCACACATAACTAAAGTAGGTAGAGATGACTTTTGATTATTACCTTTCAATGGTTCATCCATTTCTAGTTCCACATTGCTAGGCCCTGCAGTTCCATGAGATGTAAAATCTTTACTAAGATGGATACCTTTAAGTTGGGAAACCATTTTCTCTTCAGTTATTAGCATTTTAGAAGGATGAAGTTCATAATCAGCAGGATCTGGTTCTATTTTCCTTTTATTATACCATGAAATATTACAGGTAGCATTTAACCCACAACTTTTACTGCTACTTGGTCGAAAAGTTATATTTGGATTCCACATCCTTTAAGTACAACACCAAAACAACTAACCTATTACCACAGGTAGACACTAATACACGACCCTTCTAGACTGCATCAGATAACTGAATCTGATTGGCCCAATTGGGATAAGGGGTGGGATAAATTTCAAGGACTACTTTTCAAGAGTTCAAAAGTTGTATAATTTTTTTTGTAAAATATTTCTTGTTTTACTAAATTATTTTGAATGATGTATTTTAAAAAAAATAAAGACTCCTAGATTGTTTTCATGGTTATCTATCATTCTTGTAAATAAGAAAACTATGCTAAGAACGACTTGTGTAATTTTCAAATAATGGGCAACTTATTTGAACATTTCTGGCTAATAAGTTATGGATTGATTAAAATATAAAATTAAGACAAAGTGTGGTTAATTATTCTCGAAATTACAGAACCAGGAATTGGTTTTTGAATGAATTAAAGTGAATTATCATGCTTTCTGCTCAAAGAAGTTGTTAAGTTGTGTGGACTAGTTTACGAGTTATTACTTACTATCAAGACTTACTTAATTGAGGATTTAACATTTCATGGGCACAAAAGTTTACTCAGGTTTTGAAACAGAGTTGATTCAAAATAATTTCTTACAAATTACTATAAAACTTCACTCGTTGTATAAAATTTGATTAAAATTTACTTATCCTTGGTTTGGAACACTAATGCACTAGGAAATGAGATTGTAAAAAAATACTTCATGACTTTCAATAAAATAATTATTCTCTATACTAAAGTATAATGAGATCTAGGTAAGGGCAACGCAGAGGAGGAGTCCTTTAAGCAAATTTCTCCCTGGACTCAAAGCAAAACAGTATTGTTTTTCACTTCATTTCGCATAACTTTTAAATATTTTCCAGGGTGTGAGCATCAACACTCATAAAATGGATCGGTCAGGTGACGTCTTCTTCTATTGGCTCAACAGACACATATAGCTGTCCTTATCCTGAACCATAAGCCTTTCGCACTATCTTCTGCTGTTTCGATACCCACAGCTTTTGGAGGTTACTGCTTACATTACCCTGCCATTTAATTTTGGGTTTATCTTTTGAGCGCACGTCATCTAGATCATATATGTATAGTATTTTGGCTACTCTTTCTTCCATCCTGTGGACATGGCTCAGCCACACTGAAGTTTTTCGAATATGGATGCTTTAGTTCCTGATAAAGCTGATATATTTTGTTGTTCCTCCTTAATCTTTATCTTTCTGACTTGCACTGGTCCAAAGGTAATATCTCACATCCACACATTATTACAAGTCTAATATGCGTATTGTACGACCTAATCATAGTGGTCCTGCTCAGCAACCTACTTCTGAATAGATTAATCAACACAAAATATGTTTTATTTCCTGTAATTAATCTCTTACATCCTCATTTTCATTGATAAGGGACTCGAAGTAACTTAAATTGTTGACCACTTCCAAGTTTTAGTCACTGATGACAAATGCATGGATTTCTTTCTCCTTAATGCCATTACTTTGGTTTTCCCTTGACTCTGAGAACCACACGCCGAGTTTATTCATCAAGCTTTATTAATCTGCCTTTTACGCTACACAGCGATCTTCCAATGACAGCCACATCTGCATATGCCAATAAATACATGGAGCATCTTGATGTAGATGGTTCCTCCTGAAAGTAAATGGTTCCTTCAGCTCGATTCAGAGTAGCCTGTAGGAAAATATTAAATAAAAGGTCTCCTTCCCTTCAATCCATTATTTACTTCAAATTTATCCGAAGATCCACTAGAGGATTTAACCAGACATTCTTTCGGAACCATAGTAGATCTGGTTAGCCGGATAAGTTTTTTTTATATACCCAACTCTCCCATAGCTATAAACAACGCGTTTCTGTTGACAGTGTCATATGCTTCTTCAAAATTTACAAACAGCAACCATTCAGACCTTCCACACCGTCGGAATCCTCCTTAGTATTCTGCGAGTTCCATTTGTACATAAGGAGCAATTCTTCGATATAAAACAACAGAAAAGACCTTACATGCAATGTTGAGTAACGCGATTCCCCTGTGGTTCCTACATTGCATGATATTTCATTTTCTTTTGTATATTAGTGTTGGATTTACATCCACAATCTTTGTAAAAATATCATTTGGTATTATATACCATATATTTAATATTTGTCTTGTATAAATAAAACTTGAAGGAATTTAGTCGACTGTTCTACATATTGGGTGATAGATATTCAGGACGCAGTCTTTTTTAAATTTTTGCCAACGTTTCAACCCAAACATGTGGGTCATCTTCAGGGCGTGGTTTGAGCACTGAGCACTGAGTACTTGAACACCCTCAGTGCTCAAACAAAGCTGATGACCCACATGTTTGGGTTGAAACGTTGGCAAAAATAAAAAAACTAAAAAAAAACTGCGTCCTGAATATTTATCACCCACTATAAATAAAACGGTGGCCGCTCGGTCTCATCCTGCCCTAATCCCTCTCGAGAAGAGGGTCCATTTTTTTTTTTAAACTGCTACTTTTACATGTTTCGCTACTTCATTGTTCATAACAGGGCTTCTTACAGAAGTGCTCAATAACTGTCCAGCTTTATCCGAGATTTGAGACCGGCATCAGTGTTTAGCAAGTTAACTCCACAGGTGCAGTTTTAAGGTGAAATGCATTGATCAATATTTTTTTAAAATCCCAATATCGGAATTAGACATCATATTATGTCTCAACAGTAGTAGAACCCTTTATCAAATCACTTTTACATTGTTATATTATCATTATATCTTGCAGACTAATGAATGGGTTATTAAAAAGATTTTATCATTGATTAAAATTTGAGATAAATTTGATTTATGGAGAATACGCACTTAAGATACTAGGTAGGACTATCTTTTAGCCTATCGATAGTTTGAAGCTATAGATGTACTTTATTTGAATAGAATGGATGGGACACTAGCAAGTTATGTTAATAAATATGATCCTCTGTCCCACAAATCTCCTTTATTGCGTAATTTTAATTTACATGCATGTTTTGGCCTTAGGCATATCTGAAAAAAACATTTATATACATTTTGCTCAATACTTAACTTTTTACATGAATCTAGATTAATATTGTTAATGCTATAGTTCATAACAATAACCTGCTTACTTATTTTCACAATTCTTTTTATATAAAACTATAGATATATTTACAGTACTATCGATTATTGCTCTTCCATTCTCAATAGTATCGATGTTCTTAGTATTGCCAACTACAGTATTTTAACAAGTTTTTAGTGAGTTATAAAAACTTGTAAATGGATAAGTTATTATTAAATTGATATAAACTTTGGTAAATAAATTAAAACTTCACTATAACTAGTGTGTATATGGATATTAAATCGTGTTTATCTGAAATTTAACTTTTTATTGATTTACGAATTTCATCCTAGTATTGGCCTAACACTGAATGGGTCTAACAGTTCATCTGGAATTTTGCAATTGTTAAGCTGATATGATTAACAAGTGATTTTATATTTTTAATTAAGGAAAATATACATTCAGATATATCGGTTTTAGTTGATCTCAGAACTAACCTGAAGTGGATTCAGTACGGAAATTGATGAATGAACCTTTCTTCTTTTTTGAAAAAAAAAAAAAAATAGTTTTTGCACTGCATATACATAGTTTCCTATATGGTACTAAATTCACTTTTAAAGTTATTATGTTTAGCAACTTGTAGTTAATCTTTTCATAATTTGTTACAACATGTTATATTGATTATTTAAGATAATTATTATTAACTTTATTTAGTTGATTAGCTATAACTTGGTGTATATTGTGTAGTTTGTAATAGTAGTGATTTGTTTTAGTATTGTTTGAAAAACTTGAGTAATGAATGACGTTAGTAAAGCTATCCACCAAAGTATGGAAGTTCCTCATTCCAGATCTGGAAGTCTTCAACATCCAACCTCACTTCCTCTCACAAATACTGCAGGTTAATATAATTGATTTATTGTTAGAAGTACATAATTATAAGTTAAACTTTGACTCGATTAAATTTATTAAATTTTTATAGCACCAATGAGTCCGGGTAGCCCAAGTCAGAATGGTGATTCTCATTTAGTGAAATCTCAAGCCTCTAAAATAGAAACTATAAAAAATTGGAGTATATCAACTTATAAATGTACCAAACAGCTAATGTTTGAAAAATTGGGAAAAACTTCAAGAACTGTTGATACAGGTATTATTTTCTCTAATAAATATTTATATCAAAGTCAGTCAATTTCAAATAGTTTCAAAATCTTCTAATATTATAGGTGAATTGTAGTTGACTGCTTTGAAGGTTATCATGGATTATAAATTAAATAAAGTTGTGTACATGTTGTTCTGGTAAAAATTAAGCTAATATTCTGTAATTGTTTTTAATAATTAAACAATAAATAAATTGTCAAATATTAAATATTGACATATTATTTTTTAGGCACCATTGTACAAATGTCACCAACCATGTCCAGTGGGCCAAGATTCCATGTTCGTGGTATAAATAAAATTCCGAGTATAGCTGAGGATTGAGGTGTTAACAGTATAACCTCTGTGTAATTAGATCATGATTTGGGACTTTGGCAACCTCTCTAATGATCCTTTTCAGTTAAAATCGGGCATTAGTCATTTTTTATTATATGGTTGCTTTCTAGTCTTGGACACTATGCTTCCATCAAAGGGGTGCACAAATCCTCAATGGGCCCCTTTCCTTTGAGACTGGACTTGAGGCTTTACAGGATAGTTTAGCCACTTCCATCTACTTTTGAAGATACTCGAGCAATCTCAGGATTCCATTTATGGTGTGATCATAATATCTTGTGCCAAGCATGAAAGTGGAGTGACATTTGTACCATTTATTATATCAGAGAAAGTAGCTTGCTTTCGTAGGATGCGTGTTTTCCTGTTCCAAGTTCCTTTTATGTTTATAGTTGTCTGTTGTGTTTTGTTCCTTCGTTCCTTCCTTTTGGAATTTCTTTCCATTCATGGAGTTCTGCAGAGACCGCAATAAGCAGTAGTCACTTGGAGCTAGGTCTGGTGAATAGGGAGGGTAGGGCCTAGCGTTGCCTTGGTGGAGCACAACACCCTTCCGATTTGTCAGTTAATACTCTTATAATTTTGTTTTTTATTTGACAACCTTTTATTTCTTTAGGAAATATCCCAACAGTATAAAGTGCTCTTCTGAGGTTATATTATTATTTGTAACATATAAGAGACATGTTACAATATTCACAGTGCAATAGCAAACAATACTAAGCTAATGTCAACAAGAGTTAACAGATATAGTTGTTGAAATATTATAAACAGGATAAACAATCCACCTTGGGGATTAATTCATCAGATAAGAAGTTGTATCATAGTGATATATAAATAAACAGAAAAGCCGAAAAGACTTATTTGCCAACCCAATATGTGGTTGTTGACTGTACTTCTCATTACTGCAAAAAAATTTGCTTTTTTCCATTATTCATGTTGGGCCAATTGCTATCCAGACAGACAACTTTAAACCTAGTACTGAATGATTAATAGGGACAGGTATTTCAGAATATATCTTTTTATAATTTTTCAATTAAAGATTTTAGGAAGGTTCTATACAGTGCATGTTTTACAGACAGAGATAACTTGGGAAAGTGAGGAGATAGTCAGGGATTTTTATCTAACCTGCCAAAAAGTCAGTTCCTATAATTTATTGTAAAAAAAAAAAAATATGTTCCAATAATTTATTGCAAAGAAAAAAAAGTGAAAACACTGAATTAAATAAAATAAAATTTTTAAAAAGTAGGTAGTACAAACAATTGTTTTTTTTTTTTTTTTACAATGCGTACTCTTGACTTGAATTACAAATATGGATCTGCCGATAAATATTGATTGCGTTCTAACCTTTATTAAGTTTGTGTCTAATTTTTCTCATACTAAACTATTGTGATAATCGGTTCATTTCATTTAGAGTTTTTTTTTTCAATTTACACCCAGAAATAAATTGTATAAGTATCAATTTATAGTTTTCAACATTGTTCTAAAATGAAGCAAATACAATTAAACTTTCAATTAACAAAATTCATAATTATAAACAATCAATAACTTCTACTTTCTTTGCTATGAAGGTTTTGCCTACTCTAAGTTTCTAGCAATGAAATTTAATGTAGTAAAGATTTCATTTAAATTATTGACTTATTTTCATTAAGTTTCACAACATGTAAATAAAGATTCTCTTCTATCCGTCTCGAGGATATTACTTGTTTGGAATATGTTTATATTTTTGGCTATATTTAGTTAACAAAGAAAATTTTCTTTAAAAAAAAATAGTAAAAAAATGACTTTAAGGAAAGTACTTTAATATGTAAATAAGAAATTTAGTGAATTTTGGAGTAGAAAAGTGCCCAATGGAAGAAAAGAAGAAAACACCAGAAATTTTTACCAATTGGTTTTTCCACCACGGTCTATTACCAATTTTCTGCTATCAATTTTATTTTTACTCTTCAAAATTTATCACATTTTTCGTCAATAGATTTCTAATTAATAGTAATATTTTTAAAACTTGAATGTGTGATTAATATCCCATGGTAACCATATATGCCACCTGTATTTAGGATTAGGCAGGTTTCATGCATTATCTCTAATATGGTGAATTTCAGTACCTTAAAATGCAGGAATAGAATGAACCCTCTCTCTTTTTCGTTTTCTTTATTTTTCTATTTTTTCTTTTATGACATCATAATATATATATTGGGTGGATCCATAAGTTCGTTTGGTTTTTGTTAGTAGTGCAAATTGTTTTCAAATATTTTTAATTCTCTTTGCCTTATCTGACAATAATGATACTTAAGGGAAGGTCAAAGTCCACACTTTGAAACTGTTGTGTTTGTTTTCATTGGCATTAGTTTTGTTTGTGCTACAGCCTAGTGAATATGTCAAATGATAAAGTGTCTTTTTGACATTTTTTGCTTTATTATTTCTAAAAAGGCAAGCGAGCTTTGGAGATCCACCGAAAGATATATAAGGTATACAGAGATGACGCCTTAACAGTACGTACTGCTCAAAAATTGTTTGTCAAATTTCTATGTGATACAAGATATGAGTCTCGAAGAAGCACCCTGCTTCGGTGGTCGCTCAGCACACTGAGGTTGATTTGAGTGATATCAAGACTCTAATTGAACAAGACTGGTAGCTACAGGTATAAGAAATTGTGGAGGGACTGAAACTAGGTTTTGAAAATGTTAAAAGGCATTTAAAATGTCTTGGCTACGTGTAGCACCTCGATGTTTGGGTATTACACAAACTGACTGAGGCAAACCTGGTCAACCGAATATTAATCTGCCATTCTCTTCTGAAACGGATCCATTCTCAATCAAATAATGATGTGTGACGACGAGTGGATCACCTGCGACAATGTAGTGCGCAGGAGATCATGGACAACTGCTGACAAGTCGCCTAATGCCACCCTGAAGTCCAGAAAAGATTTTTCTCTCTATATGGTGGGATTATCGCAGCTTGCTGTTTTACCAGCTGCTTCCACAAGGAAAAAGGATTAATTCAAAGATCTATTGCATGCAGTTGACAAAATTGGACCAAGCATTGTGACTGAAACATCCAGAACTAGTCAATCACGAAGGTGTTCTATTCCTCCATGATAACACCAGACCTCACTTCATCATAATTACTCAGTAAAAGTTAGTGCAACTTGGCTGGAATATTATATTACATTCACCGTATTCACCAGACCTTGCACCATCCGACTACCACTTATTCCGTCACCTCCAAAAATCCCTCAACAGAAAATCGTTTGTTGATGTGAGAGATGTGAAAACTTATCTCAATCAGTTTTCCGCTTCTAAGCCCCAGATGTTTTACAAGAGCGGTATAATGAAATTGTTAGAAATAGGTCATTAATAACAACGGTAAATAAATTAGAGAATAAAGTGTGTTGTTTGTATGAAAAAAACATGTTCTATTTTACCCTTCAAAAATCAAATAAATTTATGGATCCACCCAATATATGGTTATGATATTTGCAATTGTTTTAAAATAAAAATTCATCTGGTTAATGCGAACAAAGGAGTATGATGGCATGAAACCATGATAACATGCTAAAATCTTTTTATTAATTAAACTTGTAGTAATTTAAAGATCAAAATATAATATACATAGCATGTTAAGGTTAATAGGCACAAGTATATTATGGCCTAATATGGAGCCATTTGATTTCTTGTATTTAAATTGCTAACTATAACAATTTTAAAAGCCAATCTTCTAATTATTTTCAGATTTAGAAAGGCAAATTGAACTATTGAGAGATACACAGAGAAAATACTCTAATATACTTCGTCTTTCACGAGCTCTTGCCAGTCACTTTTATCATGTAGTTCAAACCCAGGTAATTAATGATATTAATTAGTTTATTTTGGTATTGCATACATATCACTTAACTATATATATATATATATATTTTTTTTTTTTTGGGTACACCCCTTCCTTGCCTTTAAGGCTATACGGGGTTTTCCCGGGCCAGAAAGTGTGGGCAGGGATTTAAAAGACGCCCCTGCCACCGGGGCGCAGACTCATGACTATATTTTATCATTGTATCATATATCAATTTGCCCGGGCAACGGCGGTGCTGTGTACACATGTTAGTCCGTTCGGCCGCCCCGCCCACTTCACTTACCTATATATGAAATGTATAGTAAAGGAAAGTATTACATTCGTGAAAATTTTCGAATCTCAGTTTTTAACGGAAATACACGTTTTGAATTTCCCAGAGTTCAAATAAACAAGTCCCGCAAAATGTTCTGTGTATGTGTGTGTTAACAGTCTAGCTAAGAAACGAAAAGGCGTACAAAAGTGAAATTGCATATTTAAGGTTTTGATATACTAGGTATGTTACAGCAACTTTTTTGTTAAAATCGGCTAACCAGAAGAACCACTTTATATAATGGCCTAAACACATTTTTATGTTTTTCTCGAAAACGATTTTGATTAAATTCATCATATCGGTGTAAAATTAAGCATTTTAAAATAAAATGTAGTTTTTATTCTGATTGGTGTGCTCTATCAGGGCTTAATGGGCTAATTGTCAATATTAGCTTCTCCTAGAGTACCTTTAATTTTTTTATTTGAAACAATTGGCGCATTTCATATTAATCTCTAATATAAAAGATAGTTAAATATAAAATATGAAAGAATTTGATAATTAAATAAAAGAGAAATAAGAGATCGTAAGGGAGAATAGTTGTAATTAAGGAATCAAAGGAATACGAGTGCACCCGAGCTCGCCTGAAAGATTAGAAAACGCTTCCATTCATAACATGCACTTAATATAATAAGACTCTGACAATTTATATAAATATACATATGTGGTTTTCATAAATGCTATTGTTGGTATTACTTGATATTTAATTGTATACTTTCTCTTCCTCTTTGTCTGAAAATACTTATTTCTGCTAAGAAGAAGGTGTTAAGTGAAAGTTGTGTGATCCGTGCACCGCACCAGCTTTGTTTTTCTTCTGATTTTGTTGCTCTGAAAAACTTAAATGTTTGAGGAGCAAGCAGACCAATTCAGGTGGCGAATTTCTTGATTTTTAAAGAATGCATTTACGAGCCTAGCTCTATGAGGTCTAGAGTTATCGTCTATAAAAACTTATTCTGGGCCAATTGCTTCTGCCTTAGGTTGCTCTATTGGTGTTAAGACACTGTCAAAGTAATGCTGAGCAGTTATAGTCTCATTTCAGGATACCACAAGCTCTTTTCGAGAACCCGAGGATATACCACCCCACACTAATTTAGTCTCCTCTAAACGTGTTAACAGGAACAGGAAAGAATTGTATTAGACCTTCTGGTAATTCTTGCTCAGTTTGAGTTGTGGTTCTGTACAAATTTACTCCTCCGTGAAATCATCTCAGGCACAAGCAGTGATATGTGAATCTTAGCATATTGAAGTCTTTGAATTTAATGTGGGGTAAGTCCTGGAAAGGGCAGAGGTCTTAGCTGGTTCAATCCATGCTCTAATATCCTTCTAAATGTGTGAAGTCTAATTTGTACATTAAAGGCAGAAAAAACATCATCAGCTAGCCTTCGTATACTCGGTATGTGTTGAATTGATTCCTTCAAGCTCGGATAGTCAAATATTGGCCTTGTTGTACTGTTTTAGATCTTTGACACCCTCCAGCACATATATATATTCAAGGGAACCATTATCCTGGTAACTTCTCCATATGTGACTTACCACACTTTGTGATGTTCATCATAGCCTTGCTGCCAAATTTCTCAGAGTATCATCTTCCTAAGCAACAACAGCTGCTGCAAGCTCTACTGCTGTAACTATACGGTCTTGACTAATACTGGTTACTTCTAGGAATGGTATTATCAAATCTTCCTCTCTCTGGTTGTGGCCGTCTGTATATTAAAAAATCTGGTGCGTGAAACACACAACTTTCACTAACCGCTCTACTTTGAATAGAAATTATTTTCTGGCAATGTTGGGCTATTATAAAATTTTTGAAGTACACTTTTAACGGAGCTATAGCTTAAAGCTTACAGATAACAAATCATTAAGACCATTAAAATTACAAAAAGTCCATTTATTATATCGATGGTAGGCAATAAAAATCGAATACTCCATCTGCTTTTATAAATCACACAACTTCAGTCTCTGAGAGTTTCAGATGACAAAATGACTAATTCCAATTTCAACATTTTTGAGTAATGTAATTTTAGTGATATTTTTAGTTGGAGAAGTTATAATATATATAGACAGTGGGTAAGTTTATTCCAGAGTAGGTGGTATAAATACATTTTGCCACTAGAAACATCACTAAAATTGATAATAAAGAATGTTGAAATTGGAGTCATTCTGTCAACCGAAAGGCTCATTTATCCCTAGATAGATTTGAAAGTATATCTGAATATTTAACCTGTAAAGGATTGTAGATTGTAGGACTATTAGTAATTAAACTGTTATTTTCCATTGTAAAGTTTACCAAAATGAAATTACGACTTTCTTTGCCTGCCATGGATAGGTCTAAAGTTGTCACACTAATTGTAAGTGGATGATGTTGGGATTTCACAAAGGGAAAATTCATCAAATTATTCACTAATTTAATTTTCTAAAAGGTTTCTTGATGATTTTTTGGAATAAACTGCCAACAGATTACAAATTATTTAAATTTAATATCATATCTTCAGTTATTAAACTATAGTAAATGTATTTAAAGTTATAAACATATTTATGAAATATTTTGATATTTCACTTCTTTCACACAAATACAATGAAATAGTATTTTAAACAATAGCATCGGCTTGATTTGGGGAATTTTAAATGCTTTTTTGTCAAGCTTAGAAAATATTTAAAAGTTTATATTTAGTAAGATAATTTCATTTAATTTCCTTGGAAACATGTAATTTATGTTAAATAATGTTAGTTTTCTGAAATTATTATTTTTATTTTTTTTTCACTCTCCGTTACCTCCTACAACTTTATTTATTTGATATTAGTTTTTCTAAAATTCTTCAAAACTTCATATTTTGCCATTTTTTTATATTTACTGTCTATAAAAGAGAGTTAAATTTTTTTAAATAAACCATATTAAAGGTACTTTAGAGGAAGACGTATATGAACATCGGGCATTTAAGCGCTGTAAAGTGACATTAATGAAGATAAGACCTAAATTATATTAAAGACCACTTAATTATATAGTGATACACCAAATTGAATCAAAATCGCTAAAGCCATTTTAGAGAAAATTGTAAAAATGTGTTTCTCCGTTGATATAAAGTGGGACTTCCAGTTGGCCGATTTCAAGGAAAAAGTTGCGGTCACATTTAAAGCATATACCTATCTTAAATACGTAATATCGGTTAAACTGCCATTCCCATTTAATCTCAAATTTTTAGTATTTTCATGAGAAACATATGTATTGATTTTTTAAAAAATATCTCCAGCCATTTGGAATTGATGGTAGAACAGACATGTCTGTGTTGATTTCACATGTATGTGCTGTTGATTTAATACCTAACAAGTTCTTCTTGAATAACTTCACTTACTATGGAGATTAAATAATATAAATGTATTGCCAACAATTTTTATTTGGTTTTGTCTAAACTTATCTCCTCTTTATTAATTAAATGCCAAATGTTAATTATTTTTTTTCTTTTAAAGCACGCTTTAGGAGAAGCATTTTCTGATCTGGCTCAGAAATCTCCTGAACTTCAAGAAGAGTTTTTATATAACTCTGAAACTCAACGTAATTTAACGAGGAATGGTGAAACCCTTTTGTCAGCTCTCAATTTTTTTGTATCATCAGTTAATACACTATGTAACAAGACAATAGAAGACACTCTTCTCACTATTAGACAGTATGAATCAGCCAGGTATGTTTGGTTATTTTATTTGTATGTTTGGTCAGTCTTATTTTGCCTTTTTTAAAAGTTTCTTTGTATTATTTATGTTTTAATCAGAATATATCTTTCATGTGTGAAAGATGTATAAATTCAGTGTTTTTGGTCATTTTCCACTAAGTTATTAAATTTGTAATTAACATGGAGGGGACAGGTAGTGTAGTTGGGAAATAATAATTAATTTTGATAAGTAAGGCAAATGGTCAACAGACTGTAATATAGTTTTGGAAATTTTTGAACTGATAAAAAAAGTTAGTACTAATAATTAGGAACATTAGTAATATATAATGGGTGTGCCAAGCTAATTTCCTGTTTTAAAATGAGTGCTCTAAAGCAGGAGCCCTCTAAACTACCCAGGCATGCGTGGTCTTGTTCTAGAGATGAAATAATAAAGATGTGTAACGTTTGGTTCAGTCATCATCATGGGTAGGAGTAACTAGTAGGATGCATTTGCTATGAGGCCTATTTTTACAAGAACTATTATGTGGTTTCAACCAAGCATGTCTTCTGAAATCACTTCAATATTGCAAAATTGGATCCTTTTCCGGACTGGAAACCACTCTTTTGCGGTTCTGTGTAGAAAAAAAGAAGTAGAGGAGCACGTCCTATCAGATCACTTAAGAACGTCAAAGCAGTAAGGGTTGTCATTTTTGTGATCTCTGTTTCATTCGTCTCACAATCATGTGTTTACCCTTGGAATTTCCAATTGGTTGTTGAGTCGAATTCTTTAGGATGGACTTCATTTCTGTCCATACAAGTTAACCATTGTGCAGGAACTACCCTTACATGATTTTAAGGCTCGGAAAAATGCATGTGAAGCACTTCTTAGATCCCTCAAGTTGCGCTTGTGTTTAACTCTAGCATAAACACCTCACCCTCTCTCCTGACCCCCAAAAAACTTTGTATAGCTGAAAAAGGGAGTTTGTGATAAAAAAAAAAATATAAATAAATAAAACTCTAGAAGACCTGAAAAGAGACATTCAGAAAGAAACAGCATTCATACTTATCAACCATAACTATAAATCACATGTGTAACTGTAAATGTGAAAATTTGTTGGAAATAATTTTATTAATAATAAGAATTATCTAATTGATAAATTTATTTTTGTTGAAAATTACATAAGTTTCATTTTGTTATAAATGGGAAAATTTGTTCAGAACAACTTAAATAAAAACCAAAATTGATAGATAAATGGTAATTCATAAATTTATTTTAGAAAAAAATTACAGTTTTGTGAGGAACATTTTCTATGCATATACTTGTTATTTATATTATTTTAATACTTAGCAATCTTTAAATAACATTTTACAAGAACTCCTTGTTTAAAGGCTCTAGTTTTTTTTTAGGAACTACTTTCTCAAAAGTTGATAGAGAAACTTTAGTTCCAACGTAGTATTGTGTGACATAGTCCTTGGGATGCCAACTATAGCTACATTAATTTTACTCTACAAGTTTTATTTTCACTTGAATTATATTTTTTCTGAATTTATTTTTATGATTATAGAATTGAGTATGACGCATATAGAACTGACTTGGAACAACTGGCACAGGCTCCTAGAAGTGAAGCTACTTCAGCTCGGCTTGAAGAAGCACAATTAGCTTTTGAAGCTCATAGAGATGCTTTTGAAAAACTTAGGGCAGATCTCACAGTAAAACTTAGATTTCTTGATGAAAATAGAGTAAGTTTTTTTTTTTTTTTTTACAAATTTGAAAATGATCGATATAAGTTGCTGCAGACAATGCATTTTTTTTTTTTTATTAATTCAGCTTATTTACATTAACCTTATTTTACCAAGATTAACTAAATTTGGTTCATATTTATCACTTTTTTTCTTATATGGGAAGGAATTAGTCGGGAGGTGCGGTCAAATGAATACTATATATCAAAATAGTATTTTATTATTATTATTATTGTAAATATTTTTTTTTTTTATAATTGATATAAATATTCACATGATCAGTGAAATCCCATAAATCTCCAGAAAGAAGGTGTTACTCTTACCTTATACTTTATCCATATTAATAAAAAGCTAATTATATAAAATCCGAAAAGTTTTATTTTATATATAAATGTTAATAGAATTTTCTTTTTCAGATTAAAGTGATGCATAAACAGCTATTGCTATTTCACAATGCTATTTCGGCCTATTTTTCTGGTAATCAGCAGTCTTTAGAAGCAACACTGAAGCAGTTCAATATTAAAGTTAAGTCTCCGAATTCAAATTTGCCCTCTTGGTTGGAGCAGTAGTCCAGGCTCACCAATGTCCTCATGGCAAGATCTTATAATAATGTTTGATTAGCCATGAGTACGTTAATGACTTGATTATTAATACTGAATTGAATACTGTGGTCATTCTATATATTAATAGGGCATGGTGGCTATTCTGTGATTCTGTCATCCCTGAAATGTTTTAATCTTGAATATACATAAAATTAACTACTAAAACATTGAGCAGCTCGGTAGATTGTAAAAAAAAAAATCATTATTTTAGTATTGATATTTTATTAAACAAGACCAGAAATTTACTCTGAACAAACAAGTTGGAAAGAAAAAATTATTCTATTTTGTTGACTTGTTATTCTTAGATTTATATTTTTAACTGAAACATTCAAGATCTACTTAGCGTAAAGTAGTCATTGTTGACTTGGTTACCTTATCTAGTCATTTTACATTATTAAGCACACTATTTATTATACTGTTAAGAATGATAAGTATTAATTTTTGCTTTTTGTTTGTATTTTTATTTTGCTTATTAGAATATTAAAGAAAAATTGTTTAGAAAACAATAATTGAATGTGATTATATTTTTGACTGAAACTTGAGATAAAACAATTAATGGTATTGAAAAATATTGAATCATACTATATGGTATAAAGTAAATGCGTTGGATAAATGTTTTCTCAGTTTTTATGTTTAAAATGAAATAAACTAATCTAAACTTCAAATTCCTAGTTATTGTAGGCAGTTAATTTCTTAAATTAATTGGATTCCTATTTCTCTGTCAGTTTCTAATCGCACATCTCTGAGGATAACAGACAATTAAATGATAGTACAATAATTACACAACGTCTTAATAAAGTTTAAATAATGGTCATGTTTAGGAATTATATTATTTTTTCTCAACATGTACAAAAATAATAGGGTGGTGAATTACTACCTTGGTATATTGCACCAACTATCCTGGGTCTGCAAAATAACAAGTTTTGCTGGACTAATAAGAAATAATGTTAATAATAAACTGAATCATTTGATTCTCATGAAGAAAAAAATGAATCAAATATTGTTTCAATATTTCTTTCTGGATATATTTATATTTTTTGTATCCTAGGAGGATAGTGAAATTATATACATTTTTTAAATTATTGTAAATGATGTTTTTTTAGTTCTGATCTAAAGATAAATTTTTGGTTATTGATCCAAGTATTTACTGCTTTTGTGATAGTTATCTTAGTTCATTGTATTCATTTATATATAATTGTCAAGCTTTCCAATTCTCTTTGAATTAGTTATGACTTATCAGCTTATATTTCTGTCTTTTTTATTTATGTACATATACAATTATTTCTATGTACATTCATCAAAGTGTGTTTTATGATATTGCACAAGTTCATGCAAGTGAGTTTTCATTTCTTTTAGAAGTAACACTATGCATTCTTCTGTTGCATCCATATAAGGAATAGTTTCATATTAATTTTGCTTTTATTTGAATGAAAGGTCTGTTTAAATCCAGTGAATGTTTTTTTTCTTTTTCTTTTTTCCCGTTTTACCAAAATTTCTATATAATATCATTAAAAAATTAATTTGTCGTTTCTTTTAATTAAACTTTATTTATTAAATTAATGAATTTTTATTTATAAACATTTAAATATAATTATAAATGTTTGCAATATAGATATTATATTTTGATCTGGTTGCATTATAAAGAATGGTCTGGGTATTAATCTTAATTACTCATCACTGTGCTGTGTTAATGTTACATTCCATTCATTTCATTTTATTTTTAATTAGGTGTAAATGTTCAAAACCAATGATTATTTACAAATTAAAATAAATACACATTACTTGTGCTTAATAACGGAAAGATGTGTCTTAGTAGAGTAGTCTCTCTTATCCAGTGTCTACCAAGGGGGATAATACAAATATATTGTTACACAAAAAGAGTGAGCAATACAATATTACAACAACTTTCATACTTGTGGTCTGACCTGTAGGACTACATTATATATCTGTCTGCCGTTTGATAGCGAATGAGTCCTGGAAGTACTGAGTAATTGTAGACTGTGTGGAACACAAGTATTCATATTCCAAGTTTAATATTGAACTTAGTCTAATAACATTGTTCGCAAACATGAGGTATGAGTGTTATAATATAATGGTACAAAGCATAGGTGGGGATCCTTTTTATCATTTGAGGCCGCAGTAAGGTTAAGGTAGTGCTAATCGAAGGCTGCAACAATTTTTTATATTTTACTGTTCTTATTTTTATTTGTCATATACATATATTCAACTTAATTCTATTAATTTTCGAATTTTCGTTACCTAAATAATTAAATAGTAATTAATCCTAGTGTTAGATTAATAAATATTATGCAAAAACATTTGGAGAGTGCAGTTCCCCAACTGTGGTATACAGTACAGTATATGAAAACCAATAAGGAACATCTAAAAACAAAATTAAAAATAGGAGAAAAAAAAAAATTTACAGCCATTTTCTTATATTGGCTTTACTGACCATGTAAATCTTTTGCTGCCTTAACCAGCCTTCTTCATCTCTACCTATCTTGCGATATTTCTTTCTATTATCTGCATGCAGCTGTGTTGCATCTTGGTTGATTCGATCTATCCATCTAGTTTTTGGCTTTGTGGTCTCCTGCCTACTATTATGACATTCATTGTTGTGTTGAGGCATACTGATGGATTGCTCCGACTGCTGTGCTGTGCCCATCTTAATCCCCTTGCCTTCATATCAAGAGATTTTGATTGGCAAGTTTCTGTAAGCATTTATTTATTAGTCCTCCTGCATATATTAGTACTCTGATCCCAGATTGCTCAGGTTATCTTTAAATATTTGTTTCTAAGGTGCTGGTTAGTTTCCAGGTCTTTCATATTTAAAATTATTTTATTAAATGTTGAGATAATTGTAAAATAAAATTATATTTCACTCTTGAGTGTCAATTATAAAGTATTATTCCTGTATTAATAGTATGATTATTATTTTTACCGATAATTTTTATTATTTGCCTCCTTTTCGGTTACAGTAATGATGGATAAAGAAGAGTCTACTCTACTGTATTGTGATAGATTGCTTTTAACTTGTTTAGTTTTCTTAGGAACTTTTATTTCTTTTATCCATCCATAATATTGATATTGCTAAGTATATTTCTTGTTTTTGCTTTTGTGGTTTTTTATTGCCGGTTATTAATAAATTTATAGTATTTTGTTCTGTAGTATCATCAATGTGTTATCAAAACCAAAAACCCTTCCTACATCCTGGAACTCTTTAATCTATTATGATCCTCTATCCACTCTCCTAATACCAGATCTCAACCTATAGATTTATATATCTCCTCCCAGCAAATCCTTTGTCATTTGTGTTACCTCCTTTTGGAACTCTCTTCCTACCTCCATACATAAATCCTTGTATACAATTTAATTTCAATCTACTGTACAATTGCAATAACAATCAACAGCTAATTAGTTTGTATTTTTTATTATTCTAAGCCAGATTAAGACCCATACATTTGTAACTCTGTTATTATTCTTAGGGGACAGTAGTCCCGGAATAAAATTATTTTTTCATTTCATTTAATTTCAACCAGCTATATTGCTAACACTTAAAGGTGTTTTCTAATTTGTACTCAGTAGGTTGGAGATGTTTTTAATTTAATAAATATACATTACTCCATGTATACCAGCTTTTGATATGTATTCCATCTATAGTAACTTAACAATATCCATCCTTCGAGAATTCCAACTTTGTTTATTAAATAAGCTGTTATTTAATTTTTATATGATGGTAATATCGTACTTAATTTCTTGTTAAGAATTATTTAAGTAATCTTTTTAAACCAGATTATCCGTATTGGGCCTTGCCCTTTACAGAAGTTGTATATTAAAAAATATAGCCTTCTGAATGTGTAATAGAAATATTTCATTGAATGAATGTAAGAATAAACTATTAAACGTTATTGACCTATTAATAGATTTACATATTAAGAATTTATGAAATAAAGGCCTTTATTAATGAAAATATGATATCTGTTATCATTATTTGTAAATACCATGAAAATCAGGATTGTAATGGTATGGTCTGTTGAATAACATCAGTAATTTATTTATACTTTTATAAACTACTAGGTCAAGCATTTAAAGTTATATATGTTTTATGAACAAAACTTGATTATTGTACATGCATTGATTAAATTAAACTTACAATCCTGTATAAATACGTTTATTAATGATTTATTTTTCAGTCTAGTTTTTATAAATATGTGAAGCTTTTCCTTTATGTCCTTTAGAAGCTTAGAAAAATGTCTTAGCATTCATCAAATATGTGATAAAATTGATAGAAAAAGCATTTTTCGTTACTAATGTTTTTGTCTTTTTTTAATTGGTATAAATAAAAGCTGAATGGATATAAATTCATAAAATAGTGGGTGAATATTGAATTAAAAAAAAGTTTTACAAATAATAGTTAATGAAGAATGTATCGAAGAAATACAAAGCATGTATATTAGTCTATTTTATTTTCTCTCGTTCTTATATATAGAAAATTCATTGAAATGGAAGAGAGGTACTTTAAGCTCTGCTTTGAATTTTTATACTTTTTCTAAAAAAGAATAAAAAAGTTATGCTTTTGTGATTTAATTTTATTGTTTATTTAATTTAAGGTAGTGGATTAAGATTTTTTATAATCAAATCTTGTGCAATCAAACTTATTTGTATTAATTCACACTTGTATGTAAGAATCTTATTTGTGTTAAGTTGGTTTCTCATAGAAATGTTAAGCTTACGATTCATTCTGTGGTCACTAATAAACTTGGTCTGAACTAGGCTTGAAATTAATATTGCTTGGGAAAGGGCTACTTACCTTCCTATGGCCTCTCTGCGGTATTGTATTAGGGTGGGGTTGTGATACAAGCAGTGATAAGGAAAGAAGATACAGGGATCATTTAAAACATAGCTGATGGAAAAAAATCATTTCAAGATTTAAACCACATGTAAAAAGGAAAATTTTACCTTTTTTTTAGAACTCTGTTTTTACAGTACGGATTTTCTTAGGTCTATTTCTTTATTTTTTACGCCTACTGTACTTTCTGCTGATGGAAAATTCTCTATTGGAAATAAAGCACTTCGCATATAACTAAATTGTAAGCATCACTTGCGTTCCCTCCATCAGCTGGATTCGTTATATTATTGGAGTGTTTAACCATTAATCTCCTCTATATTATGAAATGAAAAATAATAACGAATAATTAAGTAAATTCTCTTCTTACTAAAAGGAACATTATGAATGCTGAAAATAAGGGGAGCAATGTTTATTATTTATTGTTTAGATTTTTTATTTTATATATTTTTAAGTTTCAAAAGTATATTGTTGGTAGTTGTAATAAAATTTTAGTTTCACAACAACTGGTTAGTTCAGCATCCATTCAATAGGTCAGAGGTGACCTTATTGGTCCTTTGTTCCCGTTATTTTGATGACTTCTTTTGTAACTCACATTACTTTTGCTGCTTTTCCCTTCTAGCCTATCACTGCTTATTTCACATCTCCAACTCTGCAAAGTAAATATCATGTTTTTGTTATTGTGGTCAAAATAAAAAATAAATAAATAAGTATATATATATATATATATATATATATATATATATATATATATATATATATATATATATATATATATATATATATTTATTTGTGTGATCCTATTGCATTCAGTTTGTTTGATATTTGGTTTAGAATTACTCATCTACTTTAGTTTATAAAGCCTGTTGGATTATTATTTACTATTGATCTCAAAAACAGTTTTAAACATTTTAGTTATACAAATATATTGTCCTTTGGTTTTAATTAATATCTCTTATTGTATGTTATTATTTCTTTTTGTGAAAAAAATATAGCATGAATAATCTTAGCTTATTTTAAATTAAATTATTATTTTTGTAAACCAATTTCTTGTTAGGATCATCACTCAATATTATTGTTTGAAAAGATATTTCATCGATGTACTTATGAGTATTGTTAAATTCACAATGTATATGTAAAATTGACTGTTGTTTATTTAACCTATGAAGCAAAAATACTATTAAATAATATTAAGAAATTGATACAAACTTACACCAAACAAAGTTAAATATATGACTATTTCATGCTTTCTTTATGTTTTTATTTCTAACTTGGAAACTCAAAATTGCTTATTTTTCATTTAATTTTTATTTGAACATTTTGTAATAAATATATCAAATGCAATCAAAGCTGGTCTATGATCCTGATTTCACATGCATTTTTACTTTTGCTTACATATATATAAAAATATACAATAGTGTAGAGATGGTTGACCATAGATTCTGATTTCAGAAGTTAGTCGGGGGCGCAGTCAATATATAAAGTACTATATTATATATGTTTTGACTTACTTTGTAGGGCTTCTTCAGGGCATTCCATCTGGGTGATCCAAGAACATTTGCTTCTATCTTAAAATCAGTGAATGTTTTTGTTTTTTAAATTTTCCTAAACATATATTTCTGTTTGCATCATGGTTTAACTTAAAAAAAGTTTATATTGAAGACCTGCAGGTATACAATTCGAAGCATTACAATCACAACAATTTGTCTCTAGACGAGAATTACCTTCTTTGGCTTCTGTTTGGTCTGAATATTCATGGTTTTTGTTACAAGAAGGTCTATCGTCTTATCAAAATTTTACCTACTTTATGAAGCATCTTTGTTTTGGCCATATCTTGATTGAGTCTATCTAAAAAGCATCTCATTCTATGAAAAAGATTATCCTTTTGGGATGAACAAATAACAAAATAAAATAAAATATAGTTATTCTGATTTTAATTTTCAATTGTTATTTTATATATCATTCGAAATATTAACAAAGAGGATGATATGTAGAGAACATAAACGTTTGTCAACTAACATTAAAATGTATTATATAATTATATATTAATATTAAAGTTTTAATTTAAAGTTACTGTTTGGTGTACAGGTACTTTTTTTCTTTATCACATAAAATACTCAAAGATATGATAAGTTGGTCATGCTTTGTCTTTCATCACAGATAATGTTTGGAAACCAAATTCATAACTAATGATGAAATTTAATTGTTTTTTATCACTAGTCATATTTAATTTTGGAATTATCTGTATAATGAATGGAATAGATTACTAGTTTTGAAACTTGAATATACAGGTAATAGAAGTGTTAAATATTTTTTCTCATTCATTATAAATGCTTAACAACAAGTTAAAACAAAGTAAATGGTTTCATTTAACATATTTAAAATAATTTTTGCTTTAAACTTATTGTGAGATCTAAATGAAATAATTTTAAATGATTTACGTAGAGTTAGATTAAACTAAAGGGACCTAATGTAAACAAATTTAAATATTTATATATACACTCTTAACAAATTTATATACAAGGAAAATATTTACAAAGACATTGGGAAAGATCCCTGATATGTATGATAAAGAGCACTGATTATTTTCTGGCTATCTTGAAATCTGGAACAAAGATTACAAATAAATTAATAATTAGCAAAATTTATAAATACATATAAATGAAAATGGAATTTTTATTTAAAAAAAAAAAGACGATAGTTCACTGGCTAGGCACTGAACTCCCAACTCTTCTCACCCAGTTTAGAGTTCAGCTATGGCAGATAATTTATTTATTTTGCTAAATCTGCTTGGAACAATTCAGAGTGATCCTCCTGGGACACATCCCCAGCTTCTATGAAGTGTTATTGGATCCCTCTATGGAATCTAGTGGTTAACTGTTCCTGAGGAGAAGAATCTTTGGTCAAGAAATATTACTTCCTTAACAAGTACTGAATCCTAGGGCATTCATGGGTTTTAGTAGCACAGGCTCTTTTTTAACCAACTTTTGGGACTTATTGAACTCAAAACTATAAGAATTCATTGTCAGTTCATTCAGCGAACACTGACTTTTAGTCAGAGATTAAACTTGTTCTGTGTTAATTTTATTCTTGACTTACCACAATTCCAAGACTTACAGACTGGTGTTTTGTTTAATATAAAATGGTTTAAGGGTATATTAATAATAATAATAAAAAAAAGGAATGGTAGATTCATGTTAGATTTTATGACTACAGATTGGCAAAAATATCTTCAGCTTATTATTAAATATTTATGCAATGTTTATACTGAAGCTTTATATACTGAAGTATTAATGTATTGTTTATTATAATTCATTTTAATGGGTTGGCACAAAGCCTTTTATCCATAATTTTCAGTAATCGTTCCCCTTGATTGTTACGACCATTACCAAATTGTTACCAATATTACTTGATTTCCTTTTCAGAAAGTAATATCTTTTGGTAAATTGTTTTATTTCTGAATCTGAATGTTGAAGATCATATTTGCTGGCATTTATTGTTGCTATTTACTATGCTTTCATTATGAATACATAAGTTCTTATTTTCAGGACTAATTAATAAATATATATTTAAATAATCTATTAAATATAGTGTAGAAGATTGCTAAACTAACTTACTTATGTTGTTTTCAATGATTGAAGAAAGGTAAGATTGATGTGAATAGAAATAATACACCACCCTGCATAGTTGATGAACTTTTCTGGATGTCGGTTCTTGGTCTGCCCAATGGAACTACATCCACTAAAAAAATATAATCAATTGGATGAGAAGTTAAATTAGATACTGAATATAATTGTATGCATTACTATTATTAATTTTAATAGTTCCTGGATCCTTATTAATTTTACTAATTTACTAAATTTAACTATCTTACATATTATTTCTAAAAGGGGTTTTTTTATTGGTACGCCATAATTTCGTCAATTCTTCATCAAATCTGATAATTGAATTTATTTGCAAATAACTCAAAAAGTATGCATTTTTTTCTTGATGGTACCCATGATAATTAGAAATATTACTAAATTACCTATAAAAAAAAAAGAAAAGAAAAATTGATTAATAATTTGTACCGACCTGAGGATCAAAGTGTGTTCAAATATATTTTTTTTTTTTTTCTTTTTTTCTTTTTCACTATGGTAGAAACCCAATTATTGGTCAAAAGGAGAATGTTGCTCTAGATGATAAATTGTAGAACATAAATTAGAAAATTGACGATGGAGCACATTATTATTATTAGAATTAAGCCTTGCATCCACAAGAGTATTGGAATTGCAGTTCTGAAGATGGGAATAAAAGGTCCCGAAACGTAAACTAGACTGTTAACATGTAACGTTAAAAATATACTCGTATTGTTAATAATTGGAAGTTATTATTGCCAAGCAACTAAAAAAATATTTTTTGATGGCGAAACTTAGTTGAGATTTGTGTTTCGCAGCTATAAAGACCCTCCAATACCAATTTTCATAGCGATCGAAAAATAAATTTTTTTTATTTATGAATTTGACCTAAGGCCACTCCCTTTAATTTTTTTTTTTCGAAAATCACAAAAAGTATGATAACTTCAATATACTTCCAGCTGTCCACACGAAATTTTGCAGGGATATAGGCCTTACAAACTACAGGAAATGACACAAACTGTATCCCCCTAAATAATTTAGAACTGAAGTTATAAAATAAAAACCTGTTTTATTTTGATTATTTTATTTATTTAAACTTTTTATTTTATTTTATTTATATTTTTTTATTTAATTTATTTATTTTGAGATTTTTAGTTGAGTTTTTATTTATTTACTCTTTACAGACCTGTTAAATCAAAAAGCTATTTACACGGTGTTAAAGAGCGCTAATTCAGCTTTCAAGCAATTGTAGAAACATTGAATTAGGATAAAATCTTGAGGAGTTATTAATGTTTTAGTTAATGCCAGGCAAAAATATCATAATGAAAAGTGAAGTCGTTGCCATTACGACTATCTCAGCACAACTCTTCTATCTTATATATTATTTCTAAAATGTATTTTTTTGTTGTTATGCCATAAATTCGTCAATTCTTTATCAAATTCAACCATTGACTACTCAATTTGAAGATATTCTTCTCCTTCACATGCGAAAAATAGTCATATCCCCTCTGAAATTTCTGGAAAAAAAGTTATGTAGGAAAAGAAACTTTATTTGTGAATAATATTATTAATATTAATATTCTACTACCTTTTTATTTCCTGGCTGATATATGCTTTATTGTTTCATAAAGAAATTTCTTTGTTTGTACATTTAATAATAATAATTTAGAAAATCCCATGATTGAGGCTTTATTTTGAATGTTACCTATCGAGGAATCAGCGTTTAAAAATAAGCTCTAGCAAAGCAATTTGTACAATTATTTTGTTTTATTATGTTATATAGAATATTGTAATTGATCCAGGAAAAAGAATTAATTCCTCTCTTACATCCTATGTAGGATATACTTATTTCCATATTGTTTTGCTATTCCTTTACTGAAGAGTTTTCTGCGAATTATTCGCACTGGCCAACTATTTATTGTTATTACATTTCATTAGTTCTGTTCATGTATATTAGCACATACTACCAATATATGAAGGCTAACATTTAAATATAAAATCAATTTTTATATTGTATAATTGTACATCTACCTTTTATTAGACATTTTTTTATTACTTGGAAAATATTTTTCCTCTGATTAATTCATAAATTCTTTCATATTGTAAATCCATCTCTTTTGTTTTATTACTATAATGGTTATATAAATATATGAGAGACGGTTAACTATTGCATATAAACAAAATTCAAGGTTCTTTAAGGTTAAAGGAAACAATTTTTAAAATTTAT